CCACCGATATCTGTGGCATTCTCATTGATAACCCCATCCTGCTTACGCCATCTAAGCGTGACGTAAGGCCTATCTGGTGCATTGCACTGTACTTGAGCAGTTTCATCTACGGTCACTGTTTGGTAGGGTGGGTCAATCAAAAGCACATCAGCTGTAAATTAAATTGAAAATAACACTTCAAAAAGCTGAAAGTGAAGAAAAAAACGATAGAGCAAATCAACGAAAATCATGATAAGCGACAGTTTAAGGAACATACGCTTTTGAACATGAACAAGTGCAGGTGCAGAAGAAATCGTGTGCCCAGGATGAACATCATCCGTGAAACATACATAGGTGCCTTCATCAGAAATTTTCACATTCGGAATTGTCAATATACCATCCTTATCAATAGCATTATCATTCAAATCACCGCCCTGTCGACGCCATTGCAATGTTACATGTGGTCGACCCGGTAACCAGCAGTATAGTTGCGCAGTTTCATTAACAGTCAGTGTTTGTTGAGAGGGATCAATTTCAGGTACCTCGGCTATAAATCTGTTAGTTAAAGTACGGCTGTGATCTTCAAGATGCTATCCCCATATGTTTGTAACATTTTGAAAGCAGGCTGTATCGGGCCGGAAGATCAAGACCGCTGGGGAAACAACAGGGCAAACAAGAGCAACAAAAAAGATCGCTCAAATGTGCAGTTAACGTACGCATTTGAACGTGAACAAGTGCAGGTGCAGAAGAAATTGTGTGTCCAGGATGAACATCATCCGTAAAACATACATAGGTGCCTTCATCAGAAATATTCACATTCGGAATTGTCAATATACCACCCTTATCAACGGCTTTGTCACTAATACTACCATCCTCTTTACGCCATTGCAGTGTTGCATACGGTCGGCCGGGTAGAAAGCAATCTATTTGCGCAGTTTGATTTAATGCCACCGTCTGCTGATGGGGGTCAACTTGAGGTATTTCAGCTATAAAATTTAAGTGCATAAAACTACTCGAGATATCTTCTTATCTTACTTTGAATTAATTCACAGCTAATAGATTACTGTGAAGTTATCAAGTCTGTTTTTGCTTTTCAGCAGTATTATGATTTATTTGCGCAATTTTATCCGCTCTCATCATATCTACTGTCAAAAGACACTGATGATGAATGCGCGTGATATTGGTATGGTAATTTGAGGCGATAGTACGTATGTTAATNTGTGTAACCAGGATGAACGTCATTCGTGTAACACACGTATTTGCCTTCATCAGAAATATTCACATGCGGAATCGTTAGCACCCCACCCTCATCAACGGCAATATCACTCATCACCCCATCCTCTTTACGCCATCTCAATGTAGCGTATGGATAACCATCCAGTGAACAATAGACTTGTGCGGTATCATTAACAGTAACCGTTTGAACAGATGGCTCAACTTGTGGAGTCTGTACTGAAACGTAAGTAAAGCTCGAAAATTAACGATAAAGGTGAGAAATCGAAAGGTGAAAACGGAAATAAACTGAATGCAGCGATAGAAAAGAGAAAAGGAGTGCTTTGAAGAGATGCGCAAAAAGCAACAAAAAACATACAACTTTGTACACGAATAAGTGCAGGTGCAGAACGGAAAGTGTGTCCCGGATGAATATCATCCACAGTACACGTTCAGAATTGTCAACAAGCCATCTGAATCAGTCGCCTTCTCGCTGATCTCACCTCCTTCTTTTGACCACCTAAGAGTGGCATACGGCTCACCCGGTAACCAACAACGTACCTGTGCTGTCCCGTTTACATTCACTGCTTGTGCAGGCGGATCAATTTGGGGTTCCTTTGCTAAAAGAATCGTGATGCATGAAGACAGTAGATGTGCATAAGTACCGAACATGTATATCTCCGAAAAACTGGTGCAATGAACATATGAAAATGAACACAACAAAATGACAGAACTAAAGAGGTCCAAAAATTTCTTCGATAGAGAATTCATTCAGGACTGCGAAGGGTGTGAGAGATTTGGTGCATGCACGTGAAAAAGAATCACGTACGATTTTGAACATTCACACGCGCCATAACAGAGTATACAGGATGACCAGGATGCTCATCTTCTGTCCAACATAAATAATTGCCCTCATCAGAGAGTGATGCTTCGGGGACTGTCAAGACACCGTTTGAATCGGTGGCTTTAGCATTCAGGTCTCCACTCTCTTTACGCCATCCAAGTGTTGCGTATGGCCTTTCGGGAAGCCAACAATGCAGTTGAAATGTTTGATTCACGATGACTGTTTGTTGAATGGGTTCTACTTGAAGCACTATGGCTGGAAGCAGTTGATCATGTGGCACACCATTAGTTTAAAATATAGGCCTGATGAAGACGGTGCAGAGAAAGTGAGCAATTTGGCTTTGTCAATCTGATTTCATTGGCATCACTATTTGGAGAGCAAGAAGAAACCCCTCAAAAATGAGCCGATCGAAGCGATAAAACTAAACTCTCATTAAAGATTATCGTTGATAAGAACAGCAGAGTCTTGATCAGCGCAATGTTCAAAGTTTCAAACTTAAACAAGGAAGGAGGCAACCTAGAAGTGTGCAACACATTACAATTGTGCAAGCAACATACATTTGTGAACACGAATAAGTGCAGGTGAAGAAGAAATTGTATATCCAGGGTGCAGATCATTTGTGTAGCATATATAAGTGCCTTCATCGAAAGCGGTAATATTGGGAATCGTCAAGAAACCATCCTCATCGATGGCTTTATCACTGATTTCACCATCTTGTTTACGCCATCTCAATGTGACATATGATCGACCCGGTAGCCAACAACGTATGTGTGCAGTTTCATTGATCGTCACAATCTGCTGTGGCGGATCAATTTGAAGCACAGCGGCTAGAACAAAAACGTCTTAGAGATGAATGATGGGTCGAACTCATGCTCACAAACATAAGATTCTACGTAGAATTAACTGGAGGTTTTGAAAAACTGAAACTTTCAACATATCGATAGTGGAAGAAAAGAGCGCAATTGTGCAAATGACATACGATCATATACAAGAATACGTGCAGGTGCGGATTGATGTGTGTGTCCAGGATGTATATCGTTGGTATAGCATATATAATTGCCTTCATCAGAGGTGTTCACATTCGGGATGGTCAGTACACCATCCTCGTCAATAGCATTACCATTTATATAACTTCCGTCTTCCTTACGCCATCTCAGTGTTATGTGAGGTTGGCCCGGTAACCGACAATAGATTTGAGCTGTCTCATTAACCGTTACCGTCTGTTGAGGAGGATTAATTTGAGGTATATTCGCTAAAAATCAGATTGGAAGGACCAGAATCAAACGATAATCGAATGACTGCAAACATTAGTCAACTCAAAATATCGAACTAGCTTAAATTACTTGACAGCAAAAAATTCTGCATAGAATTTACTGGAGGTTTCAAGATGTTGAGAACAACATATCGATAACGGAGGAAAAGAGCGCAATTGTGCAAAAAACATACGAAATTGTACATGAATAAGAGCAGCTTCAGACTGATGTGTATGACCGGGATGAATATCATTTGTATAACATATATAACTGCCCTTATCAGAAATATTCACATTCGGAATCATCAATATGCCGTCCTCATCAATCGCATTCTCATTCAATACACCACCTTCCTTACGCCATCTCAGTGTATTCAGAGGACGACCAGGAATCCAACAACGTATCTCAACACTCTGACCAGTGGTCACTGTCTGCACTTTGGGCTCAACTTGGGGTTCTTTCGCTACAAAATGAAAGTTTGCATACAATTGAATGATAATATCGCTCACAGTGGGTATGGAAAATAGAGCAAGCCTGATTTCTCTCACTGTAGTCTATTTATGTCTCTGGTCTAATATAGTATTTGGGAGTCATTCTTGAAGCTGAATGATATAACAATTTTCTTTATAAGAACTATCCTGCGCCGCGTACTCAATGTATATGATCTCATTCAATATAGAGAATCTTCAAGATTATGAAATTTAAAGGATTGTTAAGTTCAGAATTGTTTTCACATGGCAAACAAATAGTGTGTTTGAGGGAACGGGTGCGATTGTGCAATTAACCAACGGTTTTCAACAATTATCCGGGCAGGTGGTGAGGACATTGTATGACCAGGGTGAACATCATTTGTGAAGCAGATATATATGCCTGCATCTGAATGCGTTACTCGCTGAATTGTTAATAATCCATCGAAATCCGTAGCATTCTCATTAAGCGTACCATCCTGTTTGCGCCATCTCACCGTGGCGGATGGCCGTCCCGGTAAGGTGCACTTTATTAGAGCAGTTTCATTGGTGATGACTGCTTGCACAGGAGGATCAATCACCAATACATCAGCTATAAAATATTGGGACTGAGCACGGTTGCGAGAGCGGCATCTCAATCATTTCGAGGTGAATCTTCCGTTTCATTTGACTGGATGCATGAACTATTTGTGTAAAACCGATAAAACGATACAATAGGAAAAGCGAACTAAACGACAGTGCGATATGAAGGAAGGAAGTGCAAGAAAGTAATGAAAGTGCGAATGACATACGATATTTAACACGAACAACAGCAGGTGCAGAGAAAATTGGATGTCCAGGATGAATATCGTCCGTGTAGCAGAAATATTCGCCAGCATCGGAAAAGTTCACTCTAGGAACTACCAATAACCCGCTTGTTACGGTAGCATGCTGACTTACGTCTCCGTCTCGTCTACGCCATCTGAGGGTGGCATAAGGTCGATTCGCTAACTGACATCGTATTTGAGCGGATTCATTCAAATTCACCTCTTGTAACAATGGATCAACCTCAAGGACATCGGCTATAAAATTGTTTGCTTCATCTCACAGCATCAAGTGAATTCAGCACAGAATGCAAGGAAAGCTGAATGTTTTGAAGGCAACAAATACAAGAAGTGAAAGAAACGAAAATTAACGAATTGAGAGAACGTGGCAAGAATGAATGCCATTGCAAGAATTGAACGAAAGAACTGGAAATTATCACAATGAATTGGAAGCGAAAGAAATGAAAGAACGTCAGTGCAAAAGTGCATGTGTGCAATAAAATCAACATACGGTAGTGAACATGAATAGTTGCAGGTGCTGAATAGAGTATACGACCAGGATAAACGTCTCCCGTAAAACAAATGTATTTGCCTTCATCAGTATCTTTCACGTTTGGAAGCATCAAAACACCATCCTTATCAGTGGCATTTTCGGAAAGTTGGCCATTCTCCTTACGCCATGTCAGTAGGACATCCGGTTTGCTGGGTAACCAGCAACGTATTTTTGCTGTTTCATTTGCTGACACTGTTTGCAGCGGGGGATCTATTTCGATCACTGCTGCTACAAAACGATCAAATTTGTGATCAAAAATTTCGATAAGACGTGTTCTAGGATCTGGAACGACGACGCTCCAGAGTTCTGAGAAAGGATGCTTTGGAATCACAGTGAAAGAAGCTGGCAGCTATGTGAACGCTACAAAGAATGAAAAGTCAAAGAAACAAGAGATAGTAAAGGATTCAGTGCAATTGTGAGATGAACGTACGCGTTTGCACACGAATGAGTGCAGGTGGTGAATAAACAATTTGACCAGAATGAATATTATCCGTAAAGCAATAGTAGGTGCCCTCATCTGAGAGTTGCACTCGAGAAATTGTTAACAATCCATCAACATCACTGGCACCATCACTGATATATCCATTTTCTCTACGCCAGCTTAGATGAACATCCGGTCTACCCGGTAACCAACAACGAATTTGTGCCGTTTCATTTACAGTCACTGTTTGTTGGGGACGATCAATTTCAAGCACTGCCTCTATAAGATGATTACTTCAATCGTTTTTGGGAAGTATGTGGCAACTTCCGGAATCTGATGAGAACAGGATATTCCGAACAGTATGTCGAGAACAAGAAAACATGAACGAAAGTTGGATTGGTGTGATGCAAAATGAAGGAGAGTGACTTTACAATGAACATACGGCTTTCGACATGTAAAATTGCAGGTACAGAGTATATGGTGTGTCCAGGATGTATGTCATTTGAAGAGCAAATATAAACGCCCTCATCCGATGGTGCTGCTCTAGGAATTGTCAATAAACCGTCATGATCCGCCGCGTTCTCACTAATCTTTCCATCCTCTTTAAGCCATCTCAGCATAGCGTAAGGTCTGCTCGATGACCAACAACGTATTTGTGCACGTTCATTCGCTTGTACGGTTTGATGAAGGGGATCAACCACTAGCAGTTTTGACGCTTCCCGGATCTCGGGCACCTTTGTATCTCTGGTGACCCCAAACACTTTCGAATGCTCCAAGACCTTAGGCACTTTTGCTATAAAACAAAATACTCTGATCAAACTCATGTGGAACGCAGAGGGAAACGCTGTTTTCATGGGAAACAGGTTCTTTTTGATCTTGCAGTCAGCTCAGCGAATCTCAAACGGAAACATGCCCATGCGTAAACCAATTAATCCGAGTCTATTCAATATATCAGTCAATCAATCAGCCAATACAGTTAGTGGAGATGACCCTCTATTAACCGCTGAAAAAATATCGGTAGATATTTTATGTTCCTGAAATTCTCATCCATGAAACTCACATCTAACTGATGCCTTCAGAGAGCTGAATTCAATTGGTTCAAAGAGAGTTCATTTTCAAATGCGCAAACAAATTGAGAAGGTTCACGCACAACGAGAGGATAAGTGCAAAGTGTGCAAAATGCATGAAAGTAACGAGGAAAACGTACGACTTTCAACATGAATAAGTGCAGGTGCTGAATAAATGTAATGACCAGGATGAAGGTCATCCGTTGCGCAAACATAACTTCCCTCATCAGAAACTTTCACTCTCGGAATTCTTAGCGAACCACCACCTGAATCCTTAGCGTCTGCGCTCAACACACCATCCAGTCTGAACCATCTGAGTGTGGCGTACGGATGCTCGGGTAACCAACAATTTATTTGTGCGTTCTCATTCACGCGAATTGTTTGAACAGGGGGATCAATGAGTGGAACATGTGCTAGAAATAAAACAAAAACGTGCAACACACAGCACAGAAGACATACGAAACCCATAAAATGTACGGTTGAAGTGCCCCCTGTGAGATATTTTACGAGAAGTATCGTATAACTCGACTGGCAAAGATGTGGATGATAACTGCGGAAACAATCACTGGTAAAAACTACCATATTCATAGACTTCGTCTATGGATCGTTCGAAACGTCTTTTGTGATGTGCATCATGACCGTTTAGCTGACGGCTTCTTACACTATACTGGTCACGTTTTCCTGAAATATCGCAGTATTTCTTTGCAAAGACTAACGAAACTTGCGCATTCCAGTAGTTTTACACGGTACGGTGATAGTGTGTGTGCACGTGAATACGGACAGTGCTTCGGTGCATTGATTTGAAGATCACTCACTCACATTCGTAAGATCATATCAATAAGTCAATTTGAAATGGTGACGTTATGAGTGGTACACGAGAAGTGATTACAAACTGAAACGAACAAGCAGTATCAAATCCGATCTGAAATTTGCTGCTAAACGAAAAAAAACAACGAAAACCACACCCAATCCACAATTGATATGAACTGATAAAATTGATAAATGATAGTGCGCTTTCAGTACGTGCAACGTGCAATGAAACACATCAAGAAACTGTGCAAATTACTTTCAAGTAGAAGAAGATGCTAGATGATCATTACTGAGCCTATTACAAAGTAATCCATTGGTACCCATTTTATATGAATGGAAAGAGCAACGGGTAGGATCTTGATCAAGAGATATTACGCTGCAATCATCGATAGAAGAAGGAAACTGGAATGGAGTGGGAAACTCTCAGTAAAGGAAGCATCGAGCGAAATGAAATCTAAACGATAATTTCCGTCGAAATTTCGAACTGAACAGGAGATGTGTGAGTTACAAAAAGCGAATAGATTGCTCACGGTTCGCTTCCTGTTTTCAATAATTGCCTTTCAAAGATCCTTCTCGTTGAGATAATGTTATCCTTTGCTAGAAAGTATTTGATAAACAATATCCAAGTGAATAACTTTAGGTAATTTAGCACTTTAAGGTTCAGAACTCTGTGAACGGATTTGAATATGTTATGAACAGTATCCGAACATGTTATGAACAGCACGTACTCTTCCCTTAAGATATAGTGTTCATAACACGCTGTGACATATAATGTATAACCACAATCATAAGAATACCATTCGTGATCAGGTGACAAATGTCTGCTGCTATGAATCGGCTTTAATTTGATTTCTAGAGCACAAATGCTACTGTAGTGTAGCTGAATCGGTACTATAGTGCTACATAGCAAATACTGTCTAGTTATGTCTTTCAGTACAAATATGGCAACGATGCTGATCGAATACCTTTGAAGCATTACTTCTGATTGACCATATCATCATCAAACTAATGTAATTATGTGGTCGAACCAAAACCACAGTATCACTGAACCAATAACGTATCATTACTGGTCAAGTATCGCAAAATTGCTGAACCCATATCGTAGGGCTTTTGAGCAACTGCGGTAACATACCGCAACGAATACCGTTGCAATGTTTCAACCACTACCGTGACATTGCTGTGAACATCATGGTTGTGTTTTTTTTTTGTACCGATTTGACAAGTATCATGTAAGCAAACACATCACTCATTCTTGTTAATAACTAACTTCGAGTTAGAATATTCGATCGAAGAATTATGAAAAATGTAAAATCAAAGTCTCTTTCTGAAGAATGGATCAGAAACCTTTCTGAATGAATAGATTTCAGAAAAGGGTAGCAACAAAGGGAGAAGAAAGCAAAAGCAACATACGTCGTTCAGCGCGTACTGGTGGCTCGTAACGTGCTGGCTCAGCTGAAAGCAAAAACTTGTTAAAGGATATATGAAAGTATGTTTTGATAATTTCGTTTCACTTTCAAAAGTGAAAATATTTCAGAAGAAGATCATTTGCATAAAATAAGTTCGAAGCTTCCCATGTAGTATATCATCTCTACCTCTGCAGATCGGCGGTTGAGATTTCACATAATCACTATTCACTGACTTGGGCTGATCTAGCGGAAAT